ATGTGCTCTTCCTTCCCTTCAATACTTGGCATCACTAGTCAATGGGTGGGGGGAGGGATAATTGTGCAACAGTCAATGAATATTTTTTTTAAAAGTAAACTGGAGAAGGTGAGAGGTAGTAAAATATGCAACAATAAAAAAATGAAAATCTAACTTTTCTGTAAACTTTCATTAAAATCACAATTAAATTTTTTTAAAATTTCATTATTTTTAGTGTGTACCGTCAAATCAGAGCATCTGGTGGATTCGAACCGTGTACCTCTGAGATTGCAGTGCAGCTTCTCGCCACAATTAAAATTTTTAAAATTTTTTTTAACCACACAACAGCAACAGTGGTGTGGATAGAGACCTTGCCCTTGAGTAATAAACCTTCCTTCTGTTCATCAGTATCAGAAACATCAGCCATGATCGTGGCCATCTGCTCCTATGGGCAGTAATATTGTAACCCTCTTGGACAGTGAGAGATGCCCCTCTCATCTTGGACTCCACCGGCAGTTAGATAATATCTCATAGATTGTCACCTAATGGGTAAGGAGTTGCACTCCCAACTCAAAGGCAAGTGGTTAGAATCCACCAGCTGTATCCCAGAGGTGTGCAATTCTAATCCAACGGATGCTCTGCTGAAGAAGGAGGGACAGTCTTCTCCTGTACCAGTCAGATCCTATTTGACGGTACACACACACACACACAAAAAAAAATTAAAACATTTATAAAAAAGTAACTAGAATCCACCAGCTTCTCTGAGGGAGAAGATGGGCAGTCTCTGCCCATGTGATTTGTTGTTGTTATTGTGATGGGTCACCACGTCAGAACTGACTCATGGCTGAAAATCCAGCAGATTTTCAAAAATAAATAACAAGGAGATCTCTGAGGAAATTGCCCCTCTTCCCTCCTCAGAGCAACTGGTAGATTCAAATCTCCTGCCTTTGGGTTGGCAGCACAACTCCTTCCCCAGTGGGCCAACAGAGCTCGCTCTCATGTGATTCACAGCCTCTGAAAACCCACGGGAGGATCAGCTATAAGTTGGCTCCAACTCGACAGCAGTGAGTTGAGTGAGAGTCATTCTGTTATAAACAGGTATTTTCAAGTTTGCTTTTCCTTACCCCACCCTAGACTGTCAAATTTTTGAAGATAGTATTATATAGTTATTTTATGTCCTTTATTGAGTACCTAGGAAATGTCCAGTACTCTGTCCAGTACAGTCTTCATAAGGTTCCTTTGTTGTTGCTATTTACCCCTGAGTTAGAGCCAACTCATAGCTGATCCTCTAGCAGGTTTTCATAGACAATAAATTGCACAGTAACTGGTTGCCCATCTTTCTCCTGTGAAGAAAGCTGGTAGATTCAAACCATGGATTGCACTGCCAACCCGCAGGTATGTAGTTCAAATCCACTAGCTGCTTCTTAGAAGAAGGAAGGGCATTCTCCTCCTATGTGATTTACAGCCTCTCAAAACCCACTGGAGGGTTATTCTGTTATAGTTTGATGGTGCATAACAACCAGCACAACTCCTTACCACTAAGCCACCAGATTTCACCCTTAAGGTTCCTAGGTCATGCAAATAGTTTGTGCTCAACTGCTAACTTAGAAGTTGGTGGTTCAAACCCACCCAGCAGTGCCACAGAAGATAAGCCTGGCAACCTGTCTCCATTAAGACTGCAGCTAGGACTCTGGAAATCGTGGGGTCACTATGAGACAAAATCAGCTTAATAGCAGCTAGTGACAAGAGTGTTCAAAACAGCTTTTCAAAATATGCATTAATCCCATTTATCAAATAAAGACACTGAGTACACTTGCCCATGATCATTTCATTTCTATTTATTACTTGCACATTAGGTCTTACGCGAGATGCTGGGAACAATCATGATGAGCAACACTGACCAAGCTCCTGCCCTTAAAGAATGTGAAGATGAATGAAAAAGATGATATTCAACAAATAATTATACAAACCATAATGAGGGTATTATAGCGCTGAGCCATCTGACTGCTTCTGTCAGGCACACCTCTGCCACTTACTAGCGTGGTGAGCTCCACCAAGTCCTATAACTTCTCTACACCTCAGCATCCTCTTCTATAAAACTAAGATACTAACAAAACCACTTTCATAATGGTGCTGTAAATAGTAGATAAGTTCACATATGTGGAACACTCAGAGCTTTATACATTACAGATGTATCTTTGCTTCTGCTTTATCTTTATGAAGGTATAAAAACAGTATACGTGGCATCAGAATGGAGACATATGACCTCCTCTAACTCCACAAGGAGGGAGATTCCCCATCAACATCAATAATAGCATGAAACCAATTCTCTGTAAGGTCAAGCAAACTCCCACACTACTGCACCACCTTCTGTCAATCTGAGTACCAACCATTCCTCCCAGGGATCTCACCAGTCTGCTGCTGGGTCTGAAAATCTGAACAAAGACCCTGAGCTCTGGCTCCCTAAACCAGCAGTTCCAGTTTAGCTCTGTGTCCCAGTGGTCACTAGTTCTCAAGCACCTCTGTTGCTGCTCTTTCTGGCCTGGTGCAATCTGGGTCTTTGTCTACTGCAGGAGTCTTTGGCCCAAAAGGATACACTGTACCCTCTGCTGCTTCTTTCTTGATAATATTAAGATTCTCATTTTTCGCTCAGAATCTGCTCATTAGAAACCTGGCAGAGTGGTGAAACGGGTCAATCCCTTCATAAATAGTCTACACATCGTGTGTGCATGTTCCTGCCCCCAAAATGATATTTTCCTTATTCTCATTATCAACATGGAGCTCAGGTGGCCTATAATAAGGAATCACACGGTTCCAAAGACAACGAAGTTCAAATCCATCTATGGGAGAAAGATGAGCAGTCTCTTTCCATATGTTTTCCTGCCTCTGAAAACCCACTGGAGTGTCAGCTATGAGTCACTTCCAACTCGATGGTACATAGCAAACAAATTATCAATATAGTCCCACCCAGCCATGTGGTAAGAATCCAAGCCAATGGCTAGAAAAGCCACATTGGAAAACCTACTTCAGCACAGCGGGAGAGGCATGGGGTATGACAGGAGCATATGACAGGGCAAAACCTACTTCAGGTGATCTACAAGGTAAGTTAACTTACCGGAGGTGCAGGAAGGTGTGGCTATCCACAGGGATGGTTCAGGCACAGGGAACAGCATGTGCAAAGCACAGTGAGAGGCTCATTGGAGGCACCTCAAGGAGTGTAAATAACTAGATGGGGAGCTGTGCAAGATCAGCAGCAGAGAAGACAAAGTCCGTGATGTCAGCACTGCGTCTTGAAGACCAGGAAACATTTCACTGGGCTGATAAGCCAAACCACGGGAGATGCTCAGTATATGTTTGTCAAATAAACCAAGAAGTACATGGACAGATAACCTGCTTTGGCCTCACATGGATCTTGGCTTTCTGGTTTTGTCAGTGTAGGAGCCCATTGTCCCATATACACAATGTAATAGATACCTGGAGCATATCTGCAGGGTTCTGTGGACACCTCCAATCCCCTGTCCAGCCCTCCACATCCATTGTATTGGTGCCTCCATCTCTGACAAGAGACTGAACCTGTGAGTAACCGCCAACATCGAGGAACCACCAAAGTGGCTGCTGCTGGAGTCCCAGGCTACCACCAGGTCTCAGGTATAGGCCATTGGGGTCCAGAACTTTTTAGTATTAGAATAACCTCATGTTGAAATAACCTTGGGGAAAGACTCATTACATGAAAGAAAACAAATAAAAGTTCCCAGGTAGAGCTATAGGCATAGGTCCCTGAGTTTTCCTGGGACACTTGGAAAAACTCTACAACTCTGTAAAGCACATTACCCAAGGGTTGAGCACAATTGCCCACTTTCCAGATGGTGAAAGTGAGTTCTAGAGAAGGGGTGACATATAACCAGAGACACATCCAAACCAGACCGAGATATCTAATGTCTGTTCTCCTACCATCTTCTCTCTCATTGCCATCAACTCATAGCTGACTCTCCAGTTGGTTTTCAGGAGCCTGTAAATCACATTGGAGGAAATTGCCCATTTTTCTCCCAAGGAGCTGCTGGCGGATCCAAACAGCCAGGAAGGAGCCCCCTTCGGGTTGGCATTTCAACACCCCATGGATTACAGCACCAGAGCACCCTGTAAAGCCCACACTGCTGTTCCTGTATGCCACTGACTCACAGCTGATCTCTCCAGCAGATTTTCAGAGCCTGTAAATTGCACAGGAAGGACATTGTCCATCAATTGGTGGATTCAAACCAGATATTGTGTTGGTATTGCAACTCCGAACCTACCAGGCCGAAGAGTTGTGTGGTCCACCCAAAGGCACATAATTTGAATCACCAGCTGCTCCTTAGGAAAAAGATGGACACTCTCTTTCCGTGCAATAATGCCTCTGAAAACCAGCTGGAGAGTCGGCTATGAACTGGTTCCACACAACAGTACATAGAACAGTTCTTTACTAAGGTTTTTCTACACACTGCCCTGACTGCCCCATTGCCTTTCAGTATAGGGTCTCAAGGAAGCAGGAGGGGTACTTGCCTGTGGATTTTGTCAGGAGTCTGTTTCCAGCCCCACCTGGGGCAGAGACCATGAGAGACAAAAATTCAGAGGGCAGGCGTGGGTGGGTTGTTCAGGGTCACAGCCTGGTTATGCCATGTCTTTCTGTCTTTTTTTTTTCAATTGAGTTTGAGGTGGTTGTTTTTTTGTTTCCTTAAGAAATGGGAAAGAATGAAGCTGCGTAAACACAACGGTATTAACTCCCTGAAAAACCTCCTGCCATTTTAACTCTGTTACTGGAGAAATAAAAGAGAAATAATTTGTCCACCCACACTTAGCTCTTTCTGACGAAGGTAGGTGAATATTGCTTTGCTAATCGAGGGTGACTGCTGGAAGTGGAGCCACGCTGACTGATCCCGGATTGAGAGGAATCCACAGCAACCCCAAAAGGAAGCGGCCACAGTGGGTAGCAGAGCTGTGCGCGGCTGGGCCTGGAGTCAGGGCCCCATGTCCCGCTCCCACAGGTCTCCCCCAGCCGGTAGTGACAGAGGCGCTAGACGAGGCTGAAGGACTCCAGGACTCACAGAGAGCGATGCCACCACCCCCATCTCCTTCTCGGCTCTCAGAGCCAGCGCAGAAACCACCACCTCGCGTCACCTGGAGCGACTCCCTCGTTCTCTGGAGCAGCCTGTGCCTGTTTGCTGTTTCGCATTTCCTGGTAAGGTGCACACGGGCCTCACCAGTGCCTGGAAAGAGGGTGGGTTGAGGGACAGCCTTCCACTTCCTCCCCACATGGCCATTGGCTCTGTGGAGGCGAGATAGGCCTTTCTAGTGGTCCTGGATGACTGTGGGCCCACTGGCTAGTGTAAGAAGGAGGCTGGAGTTTACATCGTCCCTAGCTTAGCCTCTTAACATCCCAAATCTCAGAGACAGGGACACAGGGCCTCCCCAGTCCTCCTCTCCATTGGGTTCTCTCCAAGGACTCTGAATCTGGAGGCACATCAGGGAGAGTTCCCTTTTTCTGTATGTACCTGGGGGCTCCCCTCCAGGGAGAGCTTTCTCTTGGCTCTTGTCAGTCAGCTTCTCTCCAGGGGGTCTTGAGGCACACCTGGACCTCCCCCTCACCTGTCTTTCTGGTCCTTGGAGGTTCAGGAGCTCCTCAGTGGCCCAGGGTGAGGCTGCAGGTGAGCTGTGAGGGGGGCTTATGGGGGCACAGAGCCCAGGCTCTGAGCTCAGTCCACTCCTCCGGCTGCCCCAGCTTGCCTTCGGGGTGCTCTGGTACAGCGGCCTTGGCCACAGCTGGTTGAAGAATGCCACAAACTTCATCTCCTCCCTCTTCACATTCATGGAACAGCTGGTCCTAGGACCCACAGTGAGTAACTCTGGGTTACCCCAGGTTAAGAGAGCAATTGGAGGCCTCAGATCCCACCCTCTGGGGCTGAGGAGTCTCTGACATCAAAGGATACTTCCAAGCCCCTAAAGTTGTTCTCCCTGCTCCCCACCCCAGATCTGATACACAATTTCAGAGTATAGTTTCATAGCCATTGAAATGGATGAGAGTTGCCCCTGCTGCCTCTGATCTGTTTATCTGATGTTCCACAGGCCTGGCTGGGTGGTGGGACCTGGGGAGTCCCAAATCTGCTGCTGGTGTCTCTGTCTGTAGTCCTGGTCCTCATTACCACCCTGGTAAGTTACCTTCTGATATCAGCCTCAGAGTTTTCCCCCCCGTGGGCCCCATCCCACTAGCTCTGGACATTTTGGGTAAAGGTGGGAATGAGGTATCTCTTCCCTTCCCATGGAGTGCCTGGCCTGCTGATAGGCACCTTTTTTCTAAAAGTTGTTCAGCAGTGATCTGGGGAAGAGCCTGTGGCAGGGAGACAACTGATGAAAGAACTCCCTCTCTCCCACCAAGAAGGCTTGTGCACAGCACATGAGGTTGGGCTAAAGGAAGAGCCAGGGAGGAAAGACACGGGGTGGGGTCTCCATCTGTTAGAGGGGGCACGTAGACAGCTCCCTGGGAAGCAAAGTGGAGGCGCTGAAGGACAAGAAGTTGAATCCTTGGGCAGACCAGTCACCCAGGAGGTGGCTGGCGTGGCCACAGACCCATGCTGTCCCATGTCCCCAATCAGGTGTGGCACCTCCTCAGGACACCCCCAGAACCACCCACCCAACTGACCCCGGAGGACAGGCGCCAGTCAGTGAGCCGACAGCCCTCCTTCACTTATTCGGAGTGGATGGAGGAGAAAGTCGAGGATGACTTCCTGGACCTGGACCCCGTCCCCGAGACACCGGTGTTTGACTGTGTGATGGACATCAAGCCTGAGGCTGACCCCGCCTCGCTGACCGTCAAGTCCATGGGTCTGCAGGAGAGGTGGGAGGGGTGGAGGAGGAGGTGGGCTCCGCAGGCCCTATAGCTCTTAGCTCCAATCAGAAGGGCAGATGCCTGGCTTTGGTGCCCTCTGTGCCAGCATAGACACATATTCTTATGTAGAGTGTACTGCCAAATAAGCACAGAGAGGTGTTCTCGTGCTACTTATGCACACCCAGTATACACTATGTATACACTAGGATACATCCACGCACACTATACATGAGTGTGGGAGCTGTTGGATTAAAGAGGGGCCCCCTGCAGGACTTGTCAGGGCCTTCATCATTCTCACAGTAAGTCAGAATAGGGGTTGTGTGCAACATTCTCCAAGCTCACGTGACCATAGAACCCTGTTTTTATAGGGTCCATAGTGTTCAACACAGCACACTGTGTACCATCAAGTATTTCTGGGGCTTCGTCTGACATACTTTGGACATGTTGTAAGGAGGCACAGGTCCTTGGAGAGGGACATCATGCTTGGGAGGGTGGAGGGACAGCGCAGGAGGGGAAGACCCTCTATGAGGTAGATTGATTCAGTAACTGGGGTAATCAGGATGGGTGTGTCAGAGGCAGTGCGATTGGCACAGGACAGAGCAGGGTTTAGGGCTGTTGTACATAGGGTCGCTATGAATCGCAAACGACTCAATGGCACATAACAACAACAACAACAAACAACCATCAAGTATTGCTGTGTACCATCAAGTCGATTCTGACTCATAAAGACAGAGTGAAGTAGCCCCATAGAGTTCTATAGCCTGTAATCTGTACCAGGGAGCTCTGGTGGCCTGGTGGTAAGGAGTTGTACTGCCAATCCAAAGGCAAGTGGTTCAAATCCACTAGCTGCTCTGCGGGAGAAAGATGTGTGTTCCCTTCTTTACAGCACAATTTATAGGTTCTGAAAACCCGCTAGAGTGTCAACTATGAGTTGTTTCCAACTGGACAGCATACAACAACAACAATCTTTACCAGAGCACACCTCCCGGAATGAATAGGAGGGTTCAAAGTGCTGAATTTTCATTTAGCACCCAGGCTCTTAACCATTGCACCACCAGAGCTGTGGACACCTTCCTTTTGGAAGCTAGCTAGAAAAGTCAGGTCACACCAGATCCAGGTTAACAACATGAAGCCACGAAAAGAGCACCAAAGAGTCAAGGAGTCAGGAAAATTCACTTTATGTTTCAGCTCTACTAATTCCTTTAGATAAGAGCTTTGGGCAGTTCTTGCCTCCTCTCTGGGATTCTGATTCCTTTTCCACATAATGAGGGCTCTTTCTTTTCAGTGCATTTAGGTACAGCTCAGTAGTATTTCCCGTGTAGACTTCTTTGCTCCCGCCATGCTCTCCTTGGTCCTCCCTGACAGCAGAGGGTCCTGTATCCTCTCTTGAATGACAGCTGAGTGCAGAATGGTCCTAGCAGAGACTCTGGAGCCCCCACCCTCAGGCTGAGCCTTGCTTCTCTGAATTAGACAGATGTTCTCTCAGAGCTTCCTGGGGTTGTGGAGCTGAGACATGCTTCACTTCCATCAGTGATAACAAGGAGCTCAGGGGAGGGAATATTGGGGTTGTCTTAGATAGTGCAGCCTGGCCCTTTTTAATAAGGCCCCAGACACGCTGCCCAGCCAGCTCCTCTATTGTGGATGAGGATGCAGGGGGCCAGGCCTAACTGTGTCTTGGGGCTGAGACCTACATACAGTGGATGCTCTTAGCATACACTTAGTCCTCCTTGAGCTCACTCCCTTCCCAACTCTGCCCTCAGCTCTCACCCCCTACTTCCTGCTTCCCTGGCCCTGACACTCTTCCTTCCCTGTCACTTCCAGGAGGGGCTCCAACGTCTCCTTGACCCTGGACATGTGCACACCAGGCTGCAACGAGGAGGGCTTTGGCTATATCATGTCCCCCCGCGAAGAGTCTGCCCGCGAGTACCTGCTCAGCGCTTCCCGCATCCTCCAAGCCAACGAGCTTCACGAGAAGGCCCTGGACCCATTCCTGCTGCAGGCAGAGTTCTTCGTGAGTTCTCTTGGGCCCCTTATCAGACAACAAGGACAGGATCCATGGGTCCAGATGGTAGCATCTGGAATCCAATGGCACCATTATCGGCTGACTTGGGCAAGCTGCTGCCCCTCTGCGCCTCAATTTTCTCATCTGGGAAACGAGGATACAAATAAAAGGGTTGTTGCAAGGATTAGAGAATTAGAGATGGATAGCCAGTGCAACACGTCCAGCAGAGGGATTGGTAGACAGTAGGTATTTCCAAGTCTTTGTTGTCCAGCATTGCGCTCAAAGAGTCTTCTCTTCTGACTGTCCAGCATTCCCACCCTTTGGCCCAGGATCCCCAAGTATTATTCTGTTTTTATTCTTTCCCATTACCTCCACTCATCTCCACCCCTGTGACTCCAACTTATGTCCCAATCGCCTCCCCCTCGACCCTTCCACAGCCTGCAGCTGCATCCTTTTGCACTTTGAGGTGGCATGAATAAATGACATCCCTGCTTTCCCTGCCTGAGTTCTGAGCCAGTTACGAGCTAAGGCAGAAGAGAAAATAATATTCCCTTTTATTGTTAATAAGGCTGAGTTTGAAATGAGGCCGGGACATGTTTCAGTACCCAGTCAATTGCCATCAAGTCAATGCCAGCTCTTAGCAACACCACAGAACAGAGTAGGACGGCCCCATAGGGCTTCCAAGGCCGGAGATCTTTATGAAAGCAGACAGCCACGTCTTTCTTTCATGGAGAAACTGGTGGAATTCAGGCTGATTCAGACCCACCAACCAATCAGTTACCCCAGCACTTACTCTATCAGTAGTGAGTTTCTAATGCTAACCTCGTCTGTGGGAAGTGAGACATTTGTTAGCACCCACAGAGGTGCTGGCACATTACAGTCCTTATTTCATTGGTTCCCACCCCATCATTCCTTCTCAGCAGGAGAGAAAAGGAGGGAAGCAGGGGCTGGGGCCCCAAAGTCCAGTTCCTTAGCCAAGTGTACCCATCAGGTAACTCCCCCACCACCTCTGAGGGGAGGAGTGCTTTGAGGGCAAGAGACTAAAGACGTTTAGGGGAAACTCCTCCTGGGAGAAACCAGCGGGCTGGAAGCAATGTGCCTCCCTGCCTCTGGTCCCTCGCCCCAGGCCACCCTTGGCCCTGCCTGGATTAAAGTCTGAAGAGACTTTCCTCACCTTGTACCCCCTGTTCCAGATTCTCTAGAACTGGACACTATCTACCTGAGAAAATAGCCCACCTCACCCAAGTTGGTCTAGCCTCAGCCTCCTTTGCCAGCATCCCCCTCTGTAGAACTGTCCACTTGAAACTGACCACTCACCTAGGCCTGCCTCCTGCCATGACTGCTCACTTGCCCCCAACCTATGATGCCCTCACATGGCTTCTTTCTCCCCACACCCTGCCTCCACACTCAAACTTTCTGGAAGACCCATCTCCTCTGGAACACCTCCTCAGTAACCCCAACCCCAGCTCCAGAGTCCTTCCACCATGACCGCCCCTTGAAGAAAGAGCTGGCGTCCTCTTCATCTTTCCCCTAACCATCCTCCAGGTCCCACACAGCTGCTGAAGATATTCACAGGAGCATTCGGGTGCCATTGTTGATTTTATCCAGAGAGGAAGAAGAAGTCTGAGCATCCTCTCCACCCGGCTCTTTGCCGTAGAATTTCCTTTTAATTCTCATAACAACAATCCTAGACACTAAATGTAAAATTGTTCTTTATTTTAGAAAACCCATACTTAGTGTGTCAAAAAAAAAAACAACCCCAAGAAGAACAATATAAAATTGTCTGTGGTCTCGTGTTAAACTATGTGAAAAGAAAGGGGGGCTCAGAGGCAGAAAACACTGAGTCATTCTGAAGGACATCCTGGAGCAGGTGGGACCAGGTAAATCTGAAGGGGTGGGAGAGATTTGTAGAGCTGGAGAGGAAGGAAAAGCTGGCATTCTGGCAAGGGGCATGCATGGACTAAGACTGTGACTGAGAATGGAATATTAGCAAAAGGAAAGAAACCAGAGTATCTGGGAATGTGGGTATCCTTTGAGAACAGCCAGAGGAAGGAGAGAGGGGCAGGATTGCAGACCTCAAATGCTGCCTAAAATGTTCAGTCTGGAGCTCCCGGCACAGGGAGGGGATGCAGGAAGGTGTCTCTCCTGCTGCAAAATGAAAGAAGGTACCTCTGAGGAAGTGTGTTCAAGATGGAGGAAGCGATAGAGATGAAGACAGAGGGAGTTCCACAACAGAGCAGTTCCTGTACCATGCCAACCAAGGCCCCCACGTGGAGACGCCCAGGGCAGAACACCAATAGATCCATGAAATTGTTCAGTTTTTCAGCAGCACAGGGAGTGTAGAAGGAGGAATTGATTGGTCGGGTCACCTTTTCTCTTGTTCTTAATGTTAAGTGTCTACTATGAGCCTCAGGAAGCAGTGATGTTATTGTTGTTGGGTGCCATTGAGTCAACTAGCAACACTCGGAACAACAGACCGAAACCTTGATCTTCATGATCCCTGCCATGCTCACGCCCACTGTTGCTCGTATTCTCCGTGTCAAGCAGGAGTGTTAATTTACTTGCCAGGCACTGTTATAAATGCTTTTAATGTGGGCTGACTCCTCTAATAGTAAATGTTTGTTGAATGAATGTGTACTTTCAAGTAAGCCCCTGGACTAGAAATTGGAAGGCTTTAGGTTGGAATATATCCATGAGGACCAGGCATACATACATTCTCACACCCACATGTCCTCTTCCTGCAGGAAATCCCCATGAACTTTGTGGATCCAAAAGAATATGACATCCCTGGGCTAGTGCGGAAGAACCGGTACAAGACCATCCTTCCGAGTGAGTAGGCACTACCCCATGGCAGCAGGGCCAGCTGCATCCGACCTGGTTTCTCCCTCACCCTGAGGTAGAACTTTCCACTAGAGTTGGGGCTCTCAGAGTAAAGGGACATTCTTCACTGGCAGAGAAGGGCAGAAGGTGTCAAGGTACCCACTGGGGGGAACAGCCCTGGCAAAGGCTGAGGTTAGTTCATTCCTTCACATAATGCTCTCTAGACTTTTGTCCTTGTCAGGTACCGTGTGTCCTTGTCAGGTACCCTATGTCCTGGTCAGGTACCATGTGTCCTGGTCAGGGACCCTGTGTCCTGGTCAGGTACCATGTGTCCTGGTCAGGTACTGTGTGTCCTGGTCAGGTACTGTGTGTCCTGGTCAGATACCGTGTGTCTTGGTCAGGTATCGTGTTCTGGTCACGTACCATGTGTCCTGGTTAGGTATCGTGTATCCTGGTCAGGTACCGTGTGTCCTGGTCAGGTACCCACTGTCCTGGTCAGGTA